AATAAATACAATTATTCCAATACTTCTAAAGTGGGATTTAGACGGAACACCCTGTATTGTACAAAAATTTATAATCAATAATAAACTGAAGTTCTAGGTATTTTTATTAATTATACTCATGATTGAAATTCTATAATATATAAAATTAATTACTTCTAAATGTAAATTAATCATACAGGGCTTTCATTTCAAAAGGAGCGTGTCCAAATGTCAAAAATTTTTTTTTGTCGATTCGTTTTTGAGTTAAGGGTGGTTTAATTTTTGAAATTTTGAGTCGTAGTAGCCTTTGATTCAACTCAATTTAATTTAAATTAAAAATATGTCGATTTAGGTTGCAATGGAAAAATTCAAAACCAACATAAAATACGTTTTAGTTTTCATCCTCTAGTCACCAACCACCCTTACTTTAAAATTTTAAAAAACATCTTTAACTTTTTGAAACACTTTTGGAAAGAGGAGAAAACGCTTATCTAACCGTAAATGAAAAAAACATTGTTTTTTCGTTTTTGAGTTATATTTTTTTTGAGTGGAGGCGTGCTATTTAAAATTTTAAAGAAGGTGTGGCTAGCTACTAGTTAATGGAACCTAAAAAATATTTTAGGTTGAAGTCTCTCATCGCAACCCGAATCGACACATTTTTCATTTAAATTAAATTGAGTTCAACCAAAGGCTACTAGGAGTAAACATTTCAAAAACAAAACTACCCTTAACTCAAAAACGAATTGACAATATATTTTTTTTATTTACGGTTATATAAGCTTTTTTCCCCTTTCCAAAAATTTTTCAAAAAGCACCCTCAAGCTTTTTAAAAGTTTAAAGTAGCGGTGGTTAGTGATTAGGGGATGAAACCTAAAACGTGTTTTTGAACTCTCCCATCGCAACCCAAATTGACATATTTTTTATTAAATTGAGTTGAATCAAAGGCTACTTTCAAGAATTAAACCACTCCTAACTGAAATACAAATCGACAAAAAAATTTTTTTCTTTGACATTTAGATACGCTGACTTTTTCTCTTTCCGAAAACGTTTGAAAAAAGTAGGGGGTGCCATTTAAAGTTTTAAAGTAGGGGTGGCTAGCGACTAGGAGATGAAACTTAACTTAAAATATAACTAATGTTGGTTTTCAACTTTCCCATTGCGATCCTAATCAAGCTGTTTTTGCTTGAAAATACATTTACTCAATGTCAAAAGTTATTGAGACTCGCTCCTTTTGAAAGCCCTGTATATTAAATTTACTAATATAAAACTTGTTGAACTAATTAATTTCAATTTTATGATTCGTTTGACCAGTTTACTAACTGTTTTATTGCAGTTCAATTTGCATTCATATTGCATAAAACTTTTATTTTTATTGAAGCATTAATTATGGAGTAATTAATTTTACAGTAATCTCCACGTCGCTTGAAATTCCATTTTTCCGTACATTATTGAAAAGCTTTTAGCATTTATTTAATATTCAGTGTTTTTATGCCATGTTCAATTTTATTATATTTCCGTATTTGATTTTCGCTGTCACAAAACTTTCAAGTTTCTTCTCTTATTACAAAACAGCATTACCTTGATGCGGCTATTAACTTTCCGTCGACGATACATTTTGATCGAAAGTAATTTAGTTCAAAAGAAGTCTGTCATCACTTCACTTTCAGCTCGCTTTTGATACGTCTCACGTTATCACAAAGTGGCTCAATTATAAAATTCAAATTTCAAGTGTCAGATCTCACTCTCTATATTTGTTATCACATTTGACTGTTTACATAATTTATTCTTCGGCAATTATGCAAGCTGGCACCGGATCGACAAAACGTTCAATTTATAGCCGACAAGCTCGTATTTCATTCGCCGCAGCGAAATTTATGCAATAATTACTCCCCGCACAATAATTTATACAAGTTTGTGTACGTAAGAACATGGGGAAAACTTCCCAACTGCACTTAGGCAACATTTTTATTGTCTGGAAAACTGGAAACTTGATTATCGCAAGGGCTGCTGATATTTCAGCGTTTCAGGGATTGATTTACTTAGTTTGTAAAGTTTAGTGGGCTCGGGATGTCCAATTAACTAATTGATATGTAGCGGAAGTTTAAATAGGGCATAATAAATGTACAGAGTTTGGGGTGGTAAAGACCCCCACGTGATATTAAAACTGCATACCACCCTGTGTATAATTGTCGACCACTTTACTAAAAATGTAAGTGCTGAAAACTTTTCAAATACACGTAAATCAAAGCGAAAGTCATGAAACTTTCGGTTTGGTGCCCATGAATAACAATTTTTTTTCAAAGCGGGTTCTGGTAATATGCTTTTTATTGAAACTTTGCCCAGCGTTATTACAGCGAATTTATTCATGAAAATACGGCAAAGGACAACGTGTGGAGCATTTTTTGAAGCAAATAATTCACAATTTTTGTAATCTGATGTGAAATGTTCTTGTCATTTAGCACCACAAGGTGTGTCATTATTTTCTATGGAACGTAGGCTCATATTTAGCAACGATGATGCTCGACGATGTATAAAAACCGCAAGTTGACAAAGTCAAATATCTTTGTGCGGGATGTTGACTAAATAGGAGAAAACATATATTTGCTAATGTAAATAATTAGGTCTCAAGCTGGGTAAGTTAGATTGTCTCATAGGTCGCAGATGCCTGTCATATGAATCTCTGTTGTATACTACTACCTACTGTGTGACTACTAATTACGAACTGTTTCAAACTTCAATATCTAGACGGAAGTATGAAACCTAACACTTTTCTTTTTTTCTTTGTAATTCACAAAAGGTTTAATACAATGAGAACAGTTGCTTTGTGCTGTTTTTAACTTTGACTAACTTTAAAATATTTTTTATAGTTCAAACAAAAGATAAATATAAAAAACAACATAATTTTAGAATCGATTACATTTGGCATAATACCAAGACGCATTCTTTTTATTAATTTGGATTTTTATTCAAAATTTTAAACCGGGTGTCGGGTTATTTAATTCTATTATTTTATTATTTTATTTCTCTAAAGACTTTTAATATTAGGTTTATTGATTTTTATACGTATACTTCTTTTCATATTAATGTGCAACGAAGTAGTGGTTGAAAGGGATCATTGTTGTTTAATTCCACCACGGATTACTTATCCGTTGACTTATCCAGAGATTGTAAAAGTCGTTATAAATACTGAAATTCGAATTATTTTATTGTAAAAATAAAGAATAATGGATTCAGTTTTACACAAATGTGATTATTAAGTGATATTTCCTCGTCTCTTGTACAACTGTGCACTTTTTGGCTACTGGCGCACCCTGTATAAATTTTAAATTTGCTTGTATTTTAATTGTCCGTTGAAATAGTTAGGTAACTGGAAGTGACATCATAATTAATTGAATTTGATGAATGTAATTTTTAATAAATATTTAGTGTGTGTCAATATGGTAGTAAATACACTATTACAAAAAATTTAAGGAACAAAAAATTTTCCCAATGTTTTTCGTGATTTTTGAAAGACTGTAACTTATTAAAAAATGGTCGTATCTAGATTTAAAAAGCTGTTGCTAGTTTTGAAATTTTTTATCAAGTTAGAGAAAAAAAATCTAAATTTCTTGTTTTTGATTTTAGTCTACGGACGTGGGGATTTTCTTTTGTAGTTGCATAGGCCGGATAGCATTTTCGTTCATCTTTAGTATGCTTTTTTCATGTTCTTTTTACATTATTTTTTCGTTGAGATATTTGACTTTAAATGAAAAAGATCTTTTGTCTTTGATCATCAATATCTCAGCAATTTTTTTTAATGTTTAACGTTAAATATTTTTTTAGTTATTGATTATAAAAACCTAAAAGTAAATAATTTTATAAAAACAATCTAATAATATTTTAAATGTAAGAACAATAAATAGGGTGTTCCCTTTAAATTTTGAAGTTATTGAACTTTTAACATTTCTTTATCTTTGCAAATGCAACACACTAAAAAAATGTTACAACCTTATATATAGCTTGTACCTTCTTCTTTGCGGTAATAAAAAATATTTTTAGATGTTTTAGTTTTTGTGTAATAAATTTTTAAAAAGTGCACGTTTTCGTCAAAAAAACCGTCTTATTTTTTAAACTAAGCAAAATCGACAAATAAAAGTTTAGCTTAAAAACATTGTCATAAAAATCTACATCCAAAAACGCGTAACTTGTTTTTGAGACATGCTGTATAGTTGTAGTATTTTCCTGACATGAGCATTTCTGTTAAAATGCTGACACTTTTTTATTCAAGACTCAACAGTGAAGCATGTTTTGTTTGTAATTACTTTGTACCACGTTACCTACAGTTTATTTTTTTTTATTTGCTGGTGGGAGTAGTGTGAATCAAGGACATGACATGACATTCGTCTATTTTTGACAATCGACAGCTTCTGACATTTTGGTACTAAAATAAAAAAAATAAAGTTTCTTTCTCGCAACAGGATTTTTATAGAGCTTATTACGATTGTTACACTTGAGTGCAAAAAAACGCAAACTGTTTTTTTTATAATGTAATTTAGTTTGTTAATAAATGCCAGTTTTTTGACGTTTGTTACAATTTACAATTTCATAATTATCAGGCATCTTCCAAACTTCTATCAAGTTTTTCCATTTCTCCATTTACCTAAAAAATTTGACAATTTTGTTTTAGACAATTTGCGATTTTTTTTGCACTCAAGTGTACCTACGTGACGGTAAGACACAATTTTGACGTACGTCACTAGCTCTGCGTTACTTTAGTTGCATTTGTTAAAGTGAGATAAATAGCCTGACCGATTTTATGCAATTAGGCACGTAGCGGGAAAGCAACAAAGCTGTTTACAAATGTTAAAAAGAGATAGCAATCTACGTCTTTCGAATTATTTATTGATGCACACGTATAAATAAAAAAAACGGACTTTACATTATCTTTTAATATTTTTTAATGGTTTTATAAAATGCACAAGAAAAGAGTTAAAAATACTTATCATAAGAAATTTCAAGATATATTTTGTTTTTTTTTTCAGCGTCATGGACACCTTGTACACCGCTCGCCTGCATGGCTTCCCCAACCTCAGTCGCAACAGCCTGGAGCCGACAGTCCTGACTGAAGAAAGCGTTTTATCCTTGCTCATTGTCCTCGGCAGCAGCATCTCCTTAGTCGGTCTCGTCTTCGCTTTCATCACATACAGGTGAGTTGTGTCGAACCCGTCCCCGAAACTTATCCCCAGTGCTAATCTCTCAAAGCCGAATTAATCCTCTTTTGCATCTTAATTCGAGTTGAATTCGGCCCTGAAGCGCCAAGGAAGCGTTTGCTATTGTCGTATTTACAAATAAATTACTTCTGAGATGGTTTACTCGGCTGAATATGAATTGTTTTTAAACACAACTCGAGCTCTTCTTTTGTGGATGGATTTAATTGTGATTGTGGAAGGCCATTTGTGCGTAATTGGGCCCATAAATACATTATTTCTTAGTTTTTGCAGATAATTTATTGTTTTATAACGGCTCGTTATAGCCGTCTGTCTGCACCACTGTAAAACGAGCTTTTCAGCCCTGAAAACAGGCTAATGGCGAAATGTCGTGACTGAAATAACCTTGACATATTCCACAGCGGTTTTTGTAATTTTTACAGGAAAATTACCGTTAATTTGAAATATTTAAACAAGCTTAATGCGTCGATATGTATTTCAATAAAAATCACAAATTTACGCAATAAATTCGCCCGAAATTGGTCACCAAATAATTATCAACGACGGTATTGATCCACTTATTTTACCGCAAATAAATCAAAAAAAGTTATACGAAAAATATTATTGTTGTTTATTTTCAAGTATTTCTTTCCGGTGGATGAAATAAATAGAGCTTTTCTTGCTCCATTAATTTTGTGTACCGGAAGAAAGTTAGTTGACTTATCCGGAAACGCTATAAAGTTAAGATACTTGGAAAATTATAACATGTTGATAAATTGTATTGCGACTTTTTATTGTGTCCTGAAAATATTAATATATATATCTCTCAAAACAGTTACACTTTTTGAAAAGAAAAATTCAAGATGTTTGTTTAAAAATGTAGACATTACTCCCTCTTAATTAATTTTTTAATGATTGTTAAAAATAAACGTCAAAAAGTATCACATTTGTAAAGCTTTCACTTAGTATTTCACTTTTACTTTACTTTACATGTAAATTATTACTAAAACTTGTCGAGGAATTAATGAACATAATAAAACCTTAAGTTTTCCTAATCTTACAAACGCAGTCATCCAAGTCGATAACTTGGAGTAATATGACAGAAAATTATCTAATTTAGCTTCTCTACTTTAGAATCTCAAGAGAACTTGTTGTTGTCTTGATTAAAATATTATTACCTTAGGAGAAGTAATTCAGGAGAAATAAGAATAAAAAAAGGGGGACAAAATTTCAAAAACAACAAATAAAAATATTTTAAAACGATGCTATATTTTTACGTATGTATTTACCATTTTCTTTATGTTTACAAAGATAAAACTGTTGCTCTTACACATGGCTCAAAGTCAATGAAATTTTAATCATGGCAGTATTTGAGCCCCAGGTGTTTTACTTCATACATAACCAAATTATGGAATGCTCTCTTAGTAGACTATTTACGAAGCTGTTAAGTCGCATTAAGAAGCAAGAAAGCGTTATAATAATTAACAATTAGTTATAACGCGCTTACCTGCTCTTAAGAAATGTATTAAACATGAATTTTCGTTAAAATAAAAGTCTTACATTTTTGTTGTGTTTAATATTGTTCTTGGCATGTGGAAACGGATCGACATTTCCATAAAAGCTGACACGAAAGAAGCGTTCGTCTTTCAGACTTTTAAATCGAGTTTTATTGAATTAGCTCAAGTATCAAGATCAAAGTGATTGCCAGCAGTTGCGCATAATGAAAGAAATGTATTACAAAAAAATATTGATTTTGTGAAAAGTAAATAAATAAAGTCAAAGACAGACGGACAGTGAACTCGTTTAATAAAAACTCTTGTAGCAGATTTGCAATATTGTCTGTATTTGAAATTTGCGAAACAATTTTTTGACTGAATAAAATGAAATAATAAATACTGTTTTATAATAAAAGTGAAATAAAAAAAAAATGGTTGTGTTTAGTTTTTTTATAAGTATTGTTTTCTATGAAACAGTGTATTTGGTTCAGAAAAATGTGCTAATAAGATGAATATACAAATGTTTTATTTGCCCGGCGCATCCACCAATTTTATTTATTTTTTGTTGAAATGGATTCTAAAAACAAGATTTTTTGTTATTGAGCTATTTTACTGTTTGCTAAACTTTATCGAAACTTCTATATGATGTCACCAATAATAGGAATTCACTCTGCAATGAGATAATTCCATTCTCACAGTGACTATAACTAAGTTTTAGTGAAGCGCAAACATATCGACAATGATCAATGTCTCTCCATTTCAACGTTTTACTTTAAGCTCCTTTATATAATCGAACTTTGTTCCGCACTGATAGAATAAGAAAGTTCCGCAACTTTGTCGCGGAAATTTGAAAGTAGGATGCGGTTATAAAACGTATCCGAAGTATCTTTTTTAAACGAAATTTCGTATATGGTCCAATAAAAAAAGTTGAAACGTGCCAAAATGAAATCTTTGGCACTTTGATCGAATTAGCTTCCCTCTTTTACACTTGCTTGATTTCTACAAAGTTAATTTTCGGTGTTTAGAGCTGACGCCTACCGTAAATGTGACGATAACAGCTTTCAACAGAAGCTCTTGTATTCTGATAAAACTTAATGCTCGATGAACAGCACCATAAACCCAATCAAATGATGCTGCTCTTATCTAATCAAACAACATAATGGTGATTCCATACGCAAATGCTCCGAACAACAAGTGTAAAAAATATTGTTTGGATAATTGAAAAGTAAAATTCTCAGACACATTTGCAAATTATTTAAGTTGGCACTTATGACATGTAATTGAATTCCTCGGGGGAAGATTTGATTTAACGGCTGGTGGAATTCTTAGAGACAATCTTGTCGACGAGAGATTACACGTTCTGATGTCAGTAGAGTAAAAGGGCAGGTTGTGTTAGGTGAACGCCGCCGCCACCGCCACCGCCGCCGTCGCCGCCACCGCCTATCCTAATGCTATTAACGAAGTACAGCAGCTTTTCGAAAAGGTTTAGCAGACACAGCGTTAACTAATTGTTCATTAACGAAACAACTGTACCGTTGTGGAATTCCGGAGGCGGCCCGCAGTCACCGGAAAAGTGACCTACGGATAAATGTTATTCCGGAAGTGTTTCTTAAGTTTGAGCAAATAGCAAATTTGAAGTTGAAGTTTTATCTTTTGTATGGTATCATTAGAAAAAAGTCGCTATTTTTATTGTTTGAAAGACTGCGATTGATTTAATCAAAAAAATATTATACAGGGTGTGTCAGAACGCGCGCCCCAGAGAAAATTTTTTAGTAAGATAAGATACCAGGAACATGGAAAAAATGTTTGAAAAATCCTGTATTTCAAAAAATTTTGACGTTTATTTTTTGACATTTGACATTTTCTGTCTATTTAATGATACTGATGATCTTGTATATGTTTTTTTTATAATTATTTAGTAAAAGTTTAAAAGTTTTGCCAATAGAGTTACAACACCTTTAGTATGCTTTTTTTATATTCTTTTTACATCATTTTTTTCCCTGAGATATTTGATTTTAAATGAAAAAGAATCTTTTTGTCTTTGATCATCAATATCTCAATAACCAATGACCACACAGAGAATATAAGAGTAGTGTCAAAAACTGGAATACAAGATCCTTTTATGATTTTTTGAACTCTGAACATTGATTTAAAGAAAAGAGAAAAAAGTAACTTTTTGCGTTGTT